ATCTTTTGAAAAAAACCCTCCAACCCCCCCCCCCTTAGTCTCCTTTTCCAAGCTGAGAAGTCCCAGTCTCTTTAATCTCTCCTCATAGGGGACCCGTTCCAAACCCCTCAGCATTTTAGTTGCCCTTCTCCGACTTCCCTTGCTCCTCGTACAATGAGGGTTACAGGAGTCGGAGTAAGAAGTCCTCCAGCTGGACAGTATGTCGACATAACTGCCTGCTGTGTAGACACAGACTAAGTTATTTCCAAATAACACTGCTGTGTAGACATACCCCTAGGCTAGGTCTACACTACCAGGTTCTTTCAAAATAATAACTCCCACAATAGCTATTTCAAAATCAGCTTATTCCTGCTCACAAGCCGGAGTTACCCTTCTGAAAGGGCAGGCTTGGTCGGGTGGACGCTCGCCTTGTTATTTCGAAATAACTCCCCAGTGCAGACAGGCCCCTAGTGACTACAACACCCCGGCAGGTGGTGGAGTTACTGGGCTTTGAGATGTGGGAGTAACAGCTGTCTTAACGACCCAACTTTATTCTTGATGTAATCGATGTGGGTGGAATTACACCAGGGATGATTTGGCCCAAGATTGAAAAAACCACAGGGACACGCGTGTCACACGCATGTTGATGGAGGGATGCTCAGGAAAGCGCCTCAGAATTAACTAAGCGACGTGATGTTAAAGTGCGTTCGCTAAAATCCATTAAACCTACTTAAGCTAACGACCCAACTTTATTCTTGATGTAATCGATGTGGGTGGAATTACACCAGGGATGATTTGGCCCAAGATTGAAAAAACCACAGGGACACGCGTGTCACACGCATGTTGATGGAGGGATGCTCAGGAAAGCGCCTCAGAATTAACTAAGCGACGTGATGTTAAAGTGCGTTCGCTAAAATCCATTAAACCTACTTAAGCCAAGCGGGACAAGGCGGCTTTGCGTCTGAAGCAGCACGTCCACGGGGTTTAACGTGCTTTACTTGGTGCACGCTCAATTCCCACCGGGGGATAATTCCACTTACCTTCCCCGAGTGGCCCCCGTCGACAGGCGTATGACAGTCTCCCCCTCCGCCCCAGTGTCAGGGCTGGCTCCCCACTCTGGCACGATGAATGCAGAAGTGGGGGCCTGCAGAAGTCCCCCAAAATCTTCTCTCTCCAGGCTTTGGTATAAAACTCCCCCCCAAAATCCCCAAACCCTAGATTTGGGGGATAAAAATCCTCTGCCACCATCAAGTGCTTTTGAACCCACAAAGGGGGGGGGCGCACTTGAAATCAACCCCAGGGCACCCCAAGCTCTTTCTCCAAAGAGCTTGAAAAAAGAAAGAAAATCCAAACTGCCATCTAGGACTGCTGTCCCCTAGTCAGAGGCCTGCAGACCTCGTTTCACGAGGAGTACCGGTAGTTCGGAATAGGACCCTAGTCCGAACTACCTAGTTCGAGCCCCGTGTAGCCGCGCTACACGGGGTTCGAAGCAGCGGGGATTTAAAAATGGCGGCTCCCCGCTTATGCTAATGAAGCCCGGGAAATTCAAATCCCGGGCTTCATTAGCAAGTGCGGTATGCATACATTACCCTCCTAGTTCGAACTAGCGGGGTAGTGTAGACATACCCTCTCTCTCTCTCACACACACACACACACACACGTCAATCCCCCCCCCCCAAGTTTTGCTGCTATTTTGGGAGGGGAGGGGGCATGAGGATTTCTCAAAAATCAAAAGTTTGGAAACCACTGATCTAGAGCAAACTAGCCCAGAGACAAAGGAGAGAAAACCCCCAAATTCTTTTGCCCCAGTTTAAATCCCTATCTGCATTTTTATTGGCCGACTGCTACCTGGCTAGTTACAGTTAACCCCTTAGTCCCCAGGCTGCTGGCCATCCCTCATGATCGTGACAGACGGGTACAGCCGGGGGCCCAGGGCCAGGCTCAGTCACGTCCCGGAAAGTCACTGGTGATGTAACGGGCTGTTTGAGGACTCCGAGTTCCTCCCCCGGTGCCAACGCGAGCTCCTCTCGGCGGGAGGCTCTTCGCTTTGGAATTGCGCCCTGGCCATGACGTTACATGGAGACCAACCTTCCCACCAGGTTGCAAAGCTCAGGCGTGCAGCAGGCCCAGCCTGGCAGCAGGAGATAAGAGCCCTCTGTGCTCTTGGGCCCGAGCCGGCCAAGCAGGAGGTTTTATGTGCATAGTGACAAAGCGTCTCCTCACGCTTGCAGGCGGCTTGCCTGCCTCCCAGCAGCCCTCAATTTAGACACCGGCTGGCTGTTTGTAGATACGCCCAGCGCTAGCCAGCACGGGGAACAGAGGGAAACAGAGCAGCAGTCTCGGTGGCCCCTCCAAGTGGCACAGGGCAGGACAAACCCCTGTACCAAAGCCAGGCTCCTTCTAGCACTGGAATGGGGAGTTGGGGGGGGGGGGGGGGGGGGGC